AGAGCAAGGGTTGGTGAACTATGGCCCAGAGGCCAAATTTGGAACCTGGCCTGTTCTGTAAATAAAGTTTTATTGACACATAGCCACACCCACTTTTTGACATATAGTCTAAGGCTGTTTTCAAGAGCTGAGTAATTGCTACAGAGCCTGTATGGCCCATATGAACCATCCAGCCCTTTATTGGAAAAAGCCTGCTAAACCCCATGCCAGAAGGAAGACTGCTGGTCACTACAGTCACATGCTACACGGAGTGAGAGAAGTAGAGGCCGGAAACACCACTGCATTTAAAGGAACGGTGACCAGTTACTTGGCTCATTTTCTGTATGATACTGGGATTAGAATAGGGACTTTAAGGGAATATTTGGAAGAGCTGAATCAGACACATCAGAAAAAGCAGAGCAAGTGGCTGGTCGCCAGCTAGGAAGAGTAGCAAGAGGGACAATGGAATCCCACCTGTCCACCTGTCCAACCCACTCCCCTTGTGCTGAGAAGGGTTGAGGGTCACCTTCACCATGGGCATGAGCACTAAAAGTCAATTTCATCAAGAAAGTGGGGGAAAGGGAGCTGTTGTGGCAGTGGTATGCTGATGAATGTTTGAGGCCTATAGCTGCGTGCACCGATCTCCACAGTGCGTATCCAGCAGGTCCCCCCAGGTGGGGCCAGCGCTTCTACTGGGTGTCACAGTCACCAATGCTGAAGTTGGGGGATGGAGTACAGAAGACAAGAGCAAAGCACCAAATTCTTTAGGAATAAATCCTGAGAAGCAACAGATAACATCATGATGGTTAAATGAAGAGGTGTGAAATTCAACACTGATAATGGTGAAAGAGGCTGGTCAAGAATCCCCAGAGACTGAGCAGAAGCCCAGCCTCTGCCAGAGAGAGTGGGGAAAACAGCCAATTAAATCAAGACATCCCAAACTACTTTATGTAGTTTGACCAGTTTATGTAGTTGACTAGTTTATGATGAGTATATTAAATCACTATCAAGTCCTTTGATAATTAAGATTCTACATAACGCCATGCTTCTGAATATACACGTGTATGTAAATATACATAATTCTGTGTAACTACTCATGTACAACGTACACAGCAATCGTTCAGTAATTTGGGTTGTTCAGGCTCACAATTTACATTCCAGCGCTCATTATGCTCACCACATTGACTTTGAAATGGTTTCTTATATAGTTCAGAATTCTTAAGCATTAAAATATTTCTAGTTATTTGTTAATTTTTTAAATACTAAAAACTAAATGATGCCTATGTATTCCAGTATTTGATTAACCAGAGCAACGCATGTTTTGAACGATGGGATAATATTAACCACAAATAGCCACAGAGCAGCTTCTAAAGAGTAAAATTCCCCTACTCCTGGTGGAGTCCTTGTTTTCACCTGATTCTCTCCATCCCTCCCTCAGTCACTCATGCATTCACTCATCAAACCCTAATGGTTCCTTAAGGCAGTGTTCCAGAGGCTAAAAATATTTTTCACAGTTTGAAGGATTATGTCCACTGAACAAATAATCTTCAACTAGTCTTTAAATGAAATAAAAATGTGCCAGCGAGCAGAACTGGAGAAAAGGTAAAATGATTTGTTCATTGTTTCTTGGCTCACTTGTTTTGCTTCCCCCTGCCTTAGGAGGCAAGGACATCATTCCCTGCCACACTGTACCCAAACTTATTTCCCAGGGCGTCCTTCCTGGAAGATGGCATGGATGCTTCATGCTACTCTGGCTGAATGGCTCTGCCTTCCTTTCTGAGTGAGCAGCCGAGCCTTCCTGGGTGGGACGGAAAATGTATTTCTATTCTTAGCATTATTACTTCTAATTCAGGAGGACACAAAGAAAGGGCCACTTCCCTCTGCGCCCTTGGGATGTGCATGCAGGGGAGGCGAGAATGAAATAACTAACAGGTCCTACACAAAGGCCTGGATGCTGGGCACCGAGCTTTCTTTCTGTTTCTCAATTTTGCTGAGACCCCGCTATGAGCCTCGCAATTTCATTCTTTGGGAAATAGATTCCTGTAAGCTTTTAGCACAGTGAGAATTGCCCAATCTTATGAAATATTCCTTCCCCCCCTCAAGCCCTTCTGGTAACACAGACCAGATTTCTAGACACCCCACTGGCAGCCGACCTTTCCCTGTGAACTGCGGTCAGTGGCCAAGGGAGAGAGCATCAATGCTCTCAAACCTCTTTTCTGTGCCTGCGAGCAAAAATTTGACAACATTTCTCCTTGATATGAAATCTCTGCTTGGACATCTGGCTTCACAGTGAGGAACTTTCAATACACTAGCTTCAAAGAAAGGGCTCAGCCCTGGCAGGGCGGCGGGGCCAGCACAATGTTGTGCGCTCCATCTACAGAACCGCTTCCTCCAGCTCCCCCAGTGAACTCTGGGAGCCGAGGACGTGCTAACTAACTTTAGATGACTTGGCTTCAGTGGACAGACTTCTGGGGGCCTTCCAGGAGCATACGAGCCAAGCTGTGGGGTGCTGTGTTAGAGCTGCCTAACCGGGCAAATATATCCCTGTTATCAAAGATCTGAGTTATTTTCACATAGCTGCTTTTATATCGTGAAAAGTGAAAAGGCAAGGGACACTTTGGTGTTATTATGAAAATAACTCTGACAACTAAAACAGTGTCAGAAGCCCATAGGAGTCCGAGGACACCACCTTGATGATCCCTGGTTTGGATCCCAGAGTGTTTCATATGCCTGGCTGATGAGTGTGAACCACCCTGCAGGCCACAGAAGGCCAGTGATGGATTTTAGGGAGCAAATCACATGCCCATATTCGTATGGTCACTTTATGGACAGTGTGGGAGATTTAAGAGGGTCGAGCAACTGCCAGTGGTTCTGCCTAGCAGGGAGAGCAGTGCGCAGGGTCAAAGATGACGAAGGTCTGACTAAGAAGGCAGGAACCAGTGGCTGGGAAATGGAGATGCGTTTGGAGACAGTTAGGCATTAGTTCTAGGAAGTGACCTCAGAGAGGCAAAGGAGGGGAGGGATTCGCTCAAGGGGACTTCTGGAACCTGACTTGAGTGACGGGGGTGAGGGAGGCTTTAGTTCAGATAATCGATAGGAGAGGAAGAACAGGCTGCGGGTAGGGAAGAGGGGGAGGGAGATAAATTCTGTTCGCGATACGCCTCGGTTGGGCAGCCTCTGGACTGCCCACGTGAAAATGTGGAACAGTAGTCAGAACCGTGGACTGAGCCCACGAAGAGTCTGGGGGGAGGTGCGAATCGGTGCAAATTCAAGTCATTTGCATGGACACTCACACGAGGGGGCGAGACTGTCTAGGGAGAGCGCACAGAGCACACAGAAGAGGCCGGAGTAATGCCGGCGTTTAAGTGCCGAGAGGCCACAGAGCAGATGGCATGGGAGTGGGAGGGGGGTTTCGGGGTGGCTGGACTGGGAGAGCGCTGCCGTGGGGTGAGGGGCTTCAGGGGCTGGTTACGTGGCAGATGGAATCATTGTTCCTAGACACTCACGCTCTCCCTGGAGCGGGCACATCATTTCCCTGCCCAGTGATGGCAGTGGGAATGAGACTGAGGCTGCAGAGGTTTTCTCCTGCCCATCCTTTCCCATGCCCATCATCCACCACCAGGAGGACAGCTCAGACAGCTAGGTATCCAAGGAGGTTGTGCAGATATGCACAGCAGGTCTGAGCCCAATCTAAAGCCTGGACTCAAACCCAGCCAGTCCACAGCCTGCAGCTGAACCACACCAGAGGTCTGTAGACACCTTGCAAGAAAAATGAATATCAGTTTTTTTAAGTCACTGAGTTTGGGGGATTGTTTCTTATGGAGCATTACCATGGCAATAGCTGACTAACACAGGTTCCTTATTAAATATTATAAAGGAGTCAAAGAGGCTTCTAATATCAAACAATGTCTCATATCACATGTAGGGGGAAAGAAAAAGCTCACAGATGGAAATACATAGGAAAAATCTCAATTACAAAATAAAATAAGTCCTTTCTTCTAAAGTGAGGAGGCTGGATATAATGGCTTCCAAGGTTTTGTCATACCTTAAGGTTTTTCACTCTATTCATGTTGCCAGGCTTAAAGGGTATATATATGAAAATAACTTACATGAACACTAACTTTTCCCTAAATTACTCAGATCACCCACAACAGGCTACAGAAAGCGAGATGGGGGTAGGCAAGAAAGGGCAGTGATAAAACCCAAATGTTTCTTCTCTTTTTCTTTGCTTTGTATGCTGACTCCACATGCTTTAAGCATTGCGCTAACAAAGTCACTGAAAAATAATCTTTTGCTGGGAATTCTTTAAAAATTTTTGCTCTCTTTTAAATCTTATTTATAAAGGTTTCCAGATGCATATCCTCGCAGATTAAACACCACCTGAGGCAGACACTCACAGTAACATTCACTGCTGTGAAGCCAAGGAAAACCCACGTGGAGATCCGACTGCCTATCACCTGGAGGATCGGGGTGCAGGGGTTTTTCTGTTCTCTGAAAGGTGTGACTCTCTGAAGCTGGTTAGAAACCACCTAGGTTCTCGGCAACCAGGCACCTCCCCTGCACTGTCAGATCACATCAAATGGCTGGCATTCCCAACCCCCAACAGGTTATTTCTCACTACACAAATGCATAATAAAAGGATGTGGGCAGAGATTGGGATGTAAATTGGAAGCTGACTTCTGAATTTATTAGCCAGCAGTTCTGGCCTAAAGAGTCATCCTAATGTCAAGAGACGGTTCCAAAGTGGTTCTCACGAAAGAGGCCCAGGCAGTTGTCGAATATTTGTTCAATGTGAGTGGATAGGGCTGGCCAAAAATGACTCTTGATGCTGGCATGTGATCTCCGAGAGGGAGCAGGCCTGAGTCACCGGATACATCAAAGGTAGGGGCCAGTGAATGGAATCACCACTGGCTGTGCGAACAAGCCGGATACCTGCATTCATCCGCCCGCCGCCAGCCCTCAGCCTCCCGTTAATTGCGCCGCAGCAGCCGGTACCACCGGTTCCCGGAGCCTCCGATTACCTTGACTGCTCGCTCATTGTCTCTAATCAGCTGATGCTTCTCATCTTCGAACTTCTGGGTGACGTCCTGCAGCCGCCTCTCTGCAGCGAGCTGCTGCCGGCTGCTCTCCTCTCGCAGGGAGGAAACGGCCGCCTGGAGCTCGGCGATGGTCTACAACGACAAGGGCATGCTGTCACTTGCATTCCTCAGCGAGAGGCGTGTTTCATACGTGCTTATGCTCGACAAGAGGACAGCGCTGGCAAAACTCAGTTTCTCGCACTGAATATTGTCAATTAACATATCACACATGACAATGCATGAAATTCCACCCAATAAAAAGCTGTAATAAAATGGTGAGTGGTGAGCAACTGCTGAGCCAAATATGCTTGGAAGATGTTTCCGCGATAACATTCCACAATATTTACTCACCAACAGAAAAACATCTGTGATCTCCAGAATATGAAACGCGTCTGATTTTATTTTACTGAGAAATATACTTATTAGAATGAGAAAAGCCTTTCCTACTACTCTGAACTGGAATAACCAAAGAAAACAATGAACAGAGTTCGTTTTCCATAGTTACTCTGCTCTATCTACACAGCCATGTCTGAGTCTCCACCAATGCCTGTGACCGTGCTAAGCGCTTTAGGCTCCCGGGGAGGCAACCATGCTCACCGCCCATCTGCTACCGATAGGGAAACAGAGGCGCAGAAAGAGGTCACGTATTTTATGTTGTTGAAGATGACATCCAACAGAGGGGACAGGCAGGATTTGAACCACGCAGTCAGAACAATGGCTGCACTAACTGGTTCCTCAAACTAGCCTACTTTGAACAGGTTTAGGGAGTGGAAAGGAGTTTATGATGACACAGTTCCAAATATGCTGCTTTCTTCCTAAGTGCTAATATATCCACGAAAGTTTATTTTGGTCCAAATAGTGTCATTCCAGAGACTCCAGGAGTATTCTCTAAACTGAGAACTGGTTTTATGACTGGGTTCCGTCCCAGCTCTCAAAGTAATCGGATGACGGCAGGGGGGGCTGTGAACTTCATGGGCTGACTGGGAGCACTGCTCTTCCTTTGGTTTAATGTACCCACTTCCTGTCAAATTCAATGGTGATGACTTTTCAAAAGCAGGAAACGGTTTCTGCTAATAAAAGAAAGAACCTAGTCCTGGGTTAGACTATACTTCTGTTGGTTTGTGGGAGGAGGGCTGGCTGAGAAACACTGGGCTGATTAGCTATCTTCCTTGCAACTCAGTGTTTCCAGTGATTCTTAGGTGACAAAACTAGTTTACAGCATTATAAGGCAATAAATAGAATGTGTCTGGAGCTTCCCTGAAGCCAAATTCTATAGAAATATTTGTTACTACCAACAGAAATAATAGCACATTTACAATAAAATATGGAGTATTTACGATTTTAGGAGGGAGCTAACTCAGTGTAACAAAGTTTAATATTTAGAATTTGTAAATAATCCAATATTAAGACAATTGTGACATAAATGACAAAATGCATCAGAGCAGCACAGCCCTATTTCTAAATGCAAGCTGAACCGCCTGCTGTAAGTGGGGATTCATTTACTGAGGATGAAGATGTTTTCATCTGGTTTTTGAATTTTGATGAAGTGTTTCCATTCTGGCATCAGTTCCATTAATTCTCATAGCACTTCTATGAAACAGGGAAGGTTAAATTTTTATAGTGAATGTCAAAAACCGAGGCACAGAATAATCACCTCGATCACAGTCACAGAGCAAGAGGAGCCAGAGATAAGGCAGAGCCAGATTTCCTTGGCCCAACATGAAACTTGGGATTGGTATTTTATAAGAACATGGGGCCAAACAGCAAAAATAACTCACTCTTTCAATGACTATTGCAGCGTTTCAAGTAAAGTAAAATAAAACTTTGTAGGAGTGATGAGTTTAACTCTGCAATGTGTTCATTGCATGTTTGATGCGTGTGTGTGTTAGCTCTATGCAATTTTATCACATGTATAGATTCATATATCCATCACCACAGTCATGCAATGCATTTTTAAAGTAAAAAGTAATTTCATTTCTTTAAAAAATAGTAAGATTTCGATTAGCTTTATAACTGACTGAAGATAAAAATATTTTGGAGTTCTTCAAATGACAAGGGCATGAAAGAGGGATCTCTCATTTTCAGATTTATGACAAGAGCACATCAGAAAGAAAGAAATGGAGGCTGTGAAAGGAACTACTAGGGAAGTCCAGGGTATTCTGAGGAAAGGACACTGGCTTTTGTGTGGAAAATGAGACCTTACATTCTTTGGGGAAATAATGAGATTACCTTTGGAAAGTTAATGTAAAAACGTATGAAGATGATATAGGGAGTCAAACCCTTCAGGTGAAACACCTTGGACAGATAAACAGATAAACTGGTTGATAGACTGACAGATAAGATGGATATATAGACATGACTAAAATATAGAGACAATTTTTAAAAACTGATTTGAGATTTAAGATTGAGAAGTAATCATACTAACTAGGTCAATATGCTTTAGGTGAGACATAGAGTAAAGAGAATAGACAATTTTCACCTTAGCTCATTGCACATAACTGGCACACAATAAATACGTAAGTAGTGGACTTACAATCATAGTACATTAAAAAAATTGCCTGAAATAATATATTGAGATAATCTAGCCTTTCATAAAATAATAATGTAAAAAGTTTCTGAGAAAAATGGAAACTAATATAATCATAATCAAACTTCACCAGTTTTGGTTGAGTCATAATTAAAAACCATAGAACAAAATGCTACCATTTAACTAAATGTTTACCCTGCACTGGCTTCAGAGGAGGAAATGTATTAGAAATCCCCATTAGTTTACAAATTAATATTCTGGAAAGCAAAGGGACAGCTCTTTGGGGCTGATACTGCAAGCAACCTATTCCATGAAACTATAATAGTTAATGATTATCGCTAAGCAATTAATTCTTTGCATCAGTGTTAGTGGTCTTATTAAGTCTTAAAAATAACAGGATTCTAAAGAGAGATTGATATTTTAACTTTAACTCACTTTACTGTTTTTCAGATCATAGTACAGTCTGAGATTTTTATAAAGCTCTTCTTTAAAATATAATTGACAAGACAAGGCATACTTGGGAAGGCTCAGCGAACATGGGAGATCTTCATAAAATACATGTAAAAGGGGCTCCTTGATACGTTTTACATTCTGGTTGTCACAGTGGAGTGACAGGGTGTGTGGGACACGTGGAACAGGTCCAGGCACCAATCTGCAGTAGGCATGTGGGAGCTAGCGTTGGGCAGTGGGTGGGCCGCTGGTATCCCAGCTTCAGTCTTCCCCACCACCACCTACACCCCTGTAGGTGGCAATATCTTTCTTTGACAAATGGCCACCAAGTAAGTCCACTGAGTGGGGAGAGCTGCATTACAATGGAAGAGACAAGGTTAATATGTAATCCTGAGATAAAAAGAATAAATACGTGATTCTGATAGAATGATATTGGGAGTGTGCCCTGAGATGACAGGAACCCCAGAGGGGCACTGTCCTGGGTATGCCAAGGGCTTGCACATGGCCTGAAAGGTCCTAAACGCTTGATAAAATCTAAAGATTAAGTAACTTCCTTTAAGGGACGAAAATATTTAAAATATTTTCCAAATTTAACCGATGATCTCCTGGGTACCAATGTATTCATTACCAAAGCATTCATTTTATTACGTTTTTTGGGAGAGATTTTTAAAAATGTAATAAACAGTTGAGCAACTATGTTCCTGCATTCTCCTCAGCTTAGATATTTATTAGAGAATCCAGTCAACTACAACTGGAAACCAAAAAAAGTCAACCCATGGTTCGGTTTTATAATGTTTATTTTTAAATCATCTGCTTCTCTGAACCGACTGGGCCGCCAACCAACGTTTCTCACATTCAGAGGTGGGCACAAACGCCGGCAAGGTAAGGTCGTCGTGCTGCCGTCAAGAGGAGGGTGGACTGTCCTTGCTGTGTTACGAGGCCCTTTCTAAGGTGTTTTTCTTCCCTGGCATTGCCTGGCCTTCATTTACGAAGAGATGGGCACAGGGCGGGAGAGTTGTTACTGGCTGGTTTCCCCCCGCCCTCTCTTCGTCACGTCTTTACTTGGGAAAATATTTAGCAACCCCTTAGCTCTCCAAGTTTTGGAAGGGGATTTTTATCAATGCTTAAAAACCCCAAAATAAATAGATACTTTTTTGCTCTTTCCATGCCTCTTTCCTTCATTGCAATTTTACTACTTCTGTTGTAAGGGCCAACAGTGGTTAAGTGCTTTTCTAGGTGCTAGGCTCTGTGCTAAGCACTTTTGGGCATCGTGTTACTTAATCCTATGAGGTAAGCATCACTCCCCCATTTTACAGATGAGGACACTGAATTCCAGGGAGGGCAGGTAACTCGCTCAAGGTCATGCAGGCTGGAGGGCTGGGATTCAAATTCAGGTCTGCTGCACTCCATGGCTTAGGCTTCTCTGCACTAACTCATGTCTAATTTGCTTTAATACGAACTAATCGGGCTTCTCACACATTCCTGTAGATAAACTTGAACACTCCTGTTTACACTCCCATTATCGAAGCATTTTGCTAGCTATCTTCTATCTCACTTTCGGTCCACCTCCCCCATTTAACATGAAGCAGAAACAGCAGGAAGCCAGGGCAGGCCAGCTGGGCAGTGTTCAGGTTTTGGTTTAAACTTTAACTTCTGAAGTAATAAGATTTCTTCTGATTACAAAAACTTTTCTCGGTGGATTAAAAAGGATACTCCCCATGTCCCTTCCTCAAGGAAGGGCTGGAACAAGGGCGGCCCAGACGATCATCATCTTTTCAAGTAAGCACACAGGACCTTCACTTGAAGACTTTGACTTCCTAATGGGGTGCAAATTCCATAACATGCACATTTTTGAAATAATTGTAGTAGAAAAATCTAAGAAATTTCATCATCGTCATCACCAAAGTCTGGTGATATTAAAAATGTGAGGGATTGGGCTGGGCTGGGATGTCAAGGTTAAGAGCTTCCACTCCAATGTCAGGTCCAGGTTGGATCCTGGCTTAGTCATTTGCTAATTGCATGACCTCACTTTTGTGAGCCTTAGTTTCCTCAGCTGGAAACATGGGGCCAATAATAATTCCTAACCTCCGAGTTATAACGAGTGAAGATGGAATGAGTCAATATGGTCAGTGCCCCATAAAATTCTTGATATTATTATCGTTTTGTTGTTGTGCTATTACTACCACTGTGTGGTAACTCATAAAATGGTACATGAATTTCAGTTTACTACCATGTATCATTGTATACATGCAAAAAGATTAGGAAAAGTTGAGTTACAAAGTCATTAGTTATTATGACACAAAATTAAATGGGTCAATCTATCCATCTATAAAATGAAAATTAGTATTTATTTAGTTAGGATCATTCATACAACTGAGGAATGCTTGCGATTCCCTGGATGGTACTATAGGAGAGCACTGTAACAACACAGGCAGAGGCAGCCCTCCAAGTATCCTGTCAAGTAGAGACAAGCATCAATTATTGACCTTTTCATCCTAAAACTACAACAGTAACAACACACAGCAAGCTGAGTGTAGGGGCTCATCACTCTTCTTTTTCCCAAAAGGAGTCAACAGTTGAGCTGCTAATTTGATGCAGATATTTGTCACTTGGAATGGCTGTTAAGCCTTCTTTAGCTGCAGCAAACTGGAATACTGCAAAAAAGCCCAGATGGCATCAAACCGCTTACATCACAGGTGTAGGCGTGTGTCTCCGCCCTCATGAAATATGCTTTGGCCCAGGCTTGCTCAAGTGCACAAGCTGGTTTTGCCACATGTGAGTGTGTGTTTGCATGGTTCCATTTAAAAAATTTTAATAAAAAATATTAAAAACATATATTATTTATTCATATATCCATCAAAAACATGATACTAATTCATGAGAAACTGGAGGGAATACAGTTTAACCCTGAAGTACAAATGCTTTTATGCACAGGTTCCTTCCCTGTTTGCTTGGGTTTTGCTTTATCTTTCCACGTTCTTACCTTCGAAGACTTGGCAAGCTTCTGGGCGTACTCCTTCTCAATCTGCTTCAGCCTGCCGTTGGCCTGAAAGAAACACAGACACGTACATGAACACACACAGTGACCTGTGAGCCCGGCATCTCGCACATGCCTATCGCCAGCGGCTGGGCCGGCTGCCAGCTGCACCACCCTCCAGAGCAGCCAGAAAACCGCAGGGCCTGTCTTTGATCTGACGCCAACTATTCATCACTTAAAAAGCAAAAAGAAAAAGAAGAAAAAAAAAAAAGATCTCTCCTGCCAATTATTAGACAAACACAGACTTCTGTGGAGACAGAGAGAAAGGGAGCGGGAGAGACAGAAATAGGCAGAGCGGGAGCGGGAGGGCTCAGAAGGTAAAGTGGGAAGCGGAGAGGAAACAAAGGAGAGGGGAAAGGAAAGCAGGGGGGGGGACCTCCATGCCAGTATCTGACTAGACATTCTCCTTGGAGCACTTTGCCCAGAGCTGCCTGGTGGCACAGATCTGGCTGCTAATGCTTTCAGAAGGGCACCTGGGTGTCAGGACATTGACTCTTGCACAATTCCGTTTTCATTTTTGCCCTTGGCTCTACCTGATCCCCTCTCTCATTTCATCTCTCCAGACAGCACACCAGGGGTGAGGAGAGGGGCAGACATGGAATAAATTAATATGCATGTTGAAACCCTAATCCCAATGTATGGTATTTGGAGGTGAGGCCTTTGGAGGTAATTAGGTCATGGAGTGGAGCCCTCATAAATGGGATTATTGCCCTTATAAGAAGAGACCAGAGACCTCTCCAGCTTTCTGCCACATGAGGATACAAGAGATGGCAACCTGCAACCTGGAAAAAGGCTCTCACCAGGGCCTGATTATGCTGGCACCCTGACCTCAGACTTCCAGCCTCCAGAACTGTCAGAAATAAATTTATGTTCTTGATAAGCCACCCAGTTTATGGTATTTTGTTATAGGACCAAGCTGAATAAGATAATAGCCATGTGTTTTATGGACTTAATTTCAAAAGCAATTCTTCAGAGTTTATTTCATAAATCTCTGTTATTTATAATCCCATTGAGGACAATGGGGAGTTGTGGTTTTTTTCAGGACAGAGTAGGTAACAATTGTTATTTCTTTAGTAAGCCATCAGACTCTATTCTAGATCTGTAATTAATATAATCAAGGCCACTCTGGACCTCTTGAGGGGTTTATGATATATGTAGAACAGGATAGAAATAGAGAAAAAAATCGATGAAACCAAACGCTATTTCTTTGAGAAGAGACCAATAAAATCAATATACCTCTGATAAAAAATAAAAGAAAAGAGAGAGAAGATATAAATTACCAGTATCAGAAATGAGAGGGGACATTGCTATCAGATCCTATAGACATTAACAGGGCAATAAGAAAATATTAGGAACGACACATTTCCAAAATTTTTTATTTTAGACAAAATGCATAAATCTCTTAAATGATACAAATTACCAAAAGTAACTCAAGAAGAAATAGAAAACTCAAAGAGTCCTATATCCATATATGTATCTCTCCCCACTCCCCCCACTTATATTCAGGCCCAAGTGGTTTCATTAGTGAATTCTATCAAATATCAAAGGAAGAAATATCAAGTTCACATGAAGTCTTCTAGAAAATACATCATGATAACTGGTTAAAGAAGCAACGTTCCTCCACCAAATCATGAACTCTACCTCTCACCACCATCGAAAGCCTTACACCATTAGTTCTCCAGTCTCCCTTCCTTTTACATCACCAATATTTTCTTCTACACTGACTCCTTTTCATGTAATTACAAAAAGGCTAGTTACACACACACACACACACACACACACACACACACACCACCCATACAGCCCTCCCTGAAATACTGATCCACCCCTGTGACAGTTTCACAAACATATACTTCAAGTACCTCCTCTGTGTTGGGCACCGTATGTTTACAGAGGTGAAGATTTAACGCACTTGGGGAGGAGACAGATAAATGAATAGATAAAATACATAAGTGTCACAAAAGAGCTATGTGCAGGGCGTTATTAGGGAAACACCGAGAGATACCTCAATCAGAAGCTTCTGCCAGGAGATGAATATTAGAGGTAATGATGATGATGACAATCATGACGACAGCAACAAAACAACTGATCTTTATTTGGCGCTTACTGACACGTTCTTTAAGTGCTTGACACATATTAACACACCCAACCCTCTTAAAAACTGAGACAGACACGGTTATTACCCTCACTTATAAAAAGTGAAACCGAGAGACAGGAGCATTAAAAAACGCGCTCAGGGTTATCAGCTGGACGTGAACAGGAATCAGCTAATTGAAAAAAGGAGAGCATCCCAGGTGAGAGGAACAGCATGTCCAAGCTCGGTAAGAGGCACAGCTTCCTTGAGCCTGGTGCTTTCTCTTCTTCCTTCGCAGCCACATTTCTTAGTCATCTCAACTCCCTGTCTCCACTTTCAATTACTCAACAGTTCTTGATTCATGCCCTGAATGTGACCCCGTTGCCTCCACTCAACTCATCAATGACCTTCCCATTGCTCTAGTAAGAGGCCATTTTCATAACACTCAATTTTTTTATTGTAAAAGTCAATACAGAGTGTGGTAGTGGTTATACAAGTCTATAAATTTATTAAAAACTCCTAAAACTGTATTCTTAAACAGAATGATTTTATACTATGTAAATTACACCTAAATAAAGCTGTTTTTAAAAAGTATATGCATCCTTAGTGTAGAAAAACAGGTAAATAATATATTATATGTAACATTTCTTATAATCTATCACCATAGTCACAATGTTGACGTTTTAGTGATTTTTATGTGCAATAATATATTTACATGTACCAGGATATTTCTGAAGTCTTAAACCTGACATTTTGTTCTACTAATCGACCCCTCCCAGTTTGGTCCACTCTGTTAAAGAGGGGAGAAACCGGACAGTTTAGGACAAGGGCTGTAGTATCATCATCAATATCACTATTTACTGGCCATCTATCTACTCACTAAATATTGGTGGATCCATTCTTAGAAAAAGGACCCATATTCCAGAATAAGACTGGCCCCATTTCAAGTCATGCCGCCGAATCAGAGTTTTGGATCCATTCTCTGTTCACACAGAGCTAATAACTATGGTCAGTACTGTGGACTAAAATAATGTATATTTAATGGCAGATAAGCTAAAAAAAAAAAAAGGAACAGTTGATTTTCTGCTCTTACCGTAATTCACAAGAACTAATTTTCTCACCATTACAACATATATATTTACATGGCGAACATCCATAAATGATCACAGGAGATTGACATGAATTTCCACCCCACTCACTGAGTAAGAAAGCCAACTGTGAAACAAGCTTATGGAACCAGTTAAAGAATTAAGATCTAATCATATTTCAAAAGCTCACCCTCAGAGAAGCTCTCTGAAGCAGAGGCCACAGAAACTGAAACTCATTTATTATTTGGGCAGAAACACAAACTTTAAGAGAGGGAGGGAAAAAAACTACTTTGCTCTAGGAAAGAAGCAACTATTCTCTGATGTGCAAAAAAGAATTCATCATCAAAGAACAACAGTAAAATGGGGTCAATTAATTTTTTTAAGGATCTCTACCTTCTATGTTTTTGTCTTTGCTACTGTGATGCTCTACACCAAACTCTAATGTTGCACAATTTGACAAATGTCAAAGGAAAATGACCTAATGTATTTAACAAATTTTAACATATATAATATACATTTTAAATATATTTAACATATTTACATCTGAGTGGTACCTTTAATGGTATAGTACTTTTAGGAAGCAGACAGAAGATCTCTTTCAAATGTGTGACTTCAGACATCAGAAAGTGTTGACATCGTCCAATGATCAAATGATGTTAATTGAATTACTGGTCAAGTAATGTTATTTCAAATAAGCTTTGAATTTAGGAGTTAGATGTCGTCATTCAGCATCTCTTAAATCACATTAATATTTTACTTATGACTTGAAAATTTTCTACTTTTTTGGCTCATTTGTAACAAACTAATGTATTATAGGAAGTTGCTTTACTGGAATTGTATGCAGTTCAATATAAAGCAGTCATCTCAATACATGACAAAAGCTCTCTTTCCCCTGCTGGATAATGGGGAAGCTTGCAGGAGGTGCTGAGAGGACATTCCCGAGAGTTAGTCATTAGATCTCCCTACCGGAAAATGGCCAAGAGCTTGTCCGGTTTACCAGGACCATCCACACTGAGATGGAGCTCCACACCAACTCAGTGAAAAATAATATTCGAAATGTTGACAGCGATGATGAACATGCATAAAACACGACCTGTCCCCTATTCAGTCTGCAAACGTGAGGTGCCCAGCCAGTTTTGCTGCTGTGCAGGCGAACCTCCCGTCACCCAGACCCTCGAACGTGCTCCGTCTTCCTGGTGCCCACGGGCTGCCCTGATCGGCTGTTCAGCACCTGCTGCCAAGTGGTGAGCAGGAGGGCTTGGTGGGTAAGAGCTTTGAAGCTGAACAAATGTGGGCGGTGTCACCACAGGCAAATTACTTCACTTTCCTGGGCATTATTTGATAATGTGCAGATAAAGTGGACAATAAAGATGAAACAGGACTGAGGTTTAGCAACACAGCACCGGTGGGAGTGCAGGATGGCGGGGGTCAGAGAGCGGTGAGTAAGCCCGAAATGAGGGCAAACACCGCGCTTAGGGCGAGGGGCCGGGGGAAACAGCAGGCAAGGCAAGGGCGATCAGAAGGCGGACCGAGATCCGGGCTGAGCTAGTTGGGCGACGTTGAGGTCTGAGGCATGGGCAAAGTGGAAACAAGCTAGAAGTTTCTTTACTACAGCTGAGCTCACAAAATTGTGCGTCAGGCCAGCAGAAAAGTCAGCTGTCAGGATCCACCCTTTGCAGTCAATTCTAGTTACTCTCTTGCTCCTTCTCCCGGGCTGAACTCATGAAAATAACCAGTTGCCTCAGGTTTTTTACTGGGGAAGCAAATTTCTTCCTGACATGTCTCCAAGATTGGGGTACGCTGCTGCTTTCAACAATGAGAATACTTCTTATTTGTAAATGTTTACA